ACTCCACTAAAACACAAAAGGTAAGTGATCATCTGTGACATGTGAGCCACAACCTACTTCCTCTTTCTCCCCCATTCTAGTTCAGATTGACAGAAACTTCGGGCGGGGGCGGGGGGGGGGTGTGTGTAAAGGCCAAGAAAATGGGGCTCCCTCACCACTTAGTTCCCAATCACAACAACTTACTGCAGTTCTCATTCCCTCCAACTACAAGCTGATGGAGCTAAGTTGCTGGTGGGGATGGCTGAGAGTTCAGGGGTTCCCCTCCTCCATCCTCCTGCCCCTGTCCATGGGATAGAAACTACTCTAAGCAGGAAAGGTTGGGAATACTTGGGCCAATATTGCCCTCACCCCAGCTTATTCAAAGGACAGAGGATCCATGATGGGAGACCAGAGACTGTCTATAAGCCTACTTACTCCCCAAATGGTGGTTCAGAAATTTTGTTGGGGGAAAGGCAAGCTGTAGGGAAAAACAGCTCTGTAGCGCTTTCCCAAAGGAAGCGATTTCATTTGAAACAGAGTGTTCAAGGATAAGGAAGCCCCTGAAAACAGTAATTTCTCTTATTTAAGAGCAACACTCATAGGCTAGTTCAACAGATAAAAAGATACACCTAAGAAGAGCCCTCTTAGAGACAGAAAAAATTCTCAAAAACTTACCTCAAAATAATACCCTGGCAAAGCAGCTCACATTTAATTGGATTAAACTGCTGAAAAAATTGGGCTCAGTCTTGAGGACATTGTCAAAAACAATATGATACTCAGCTGGTAATTAGAGAAGACTAATGGGTAGTGATACCGGAACCTATGAGCAGGAATTTTCCCCGGGGTCTTGTCTCATGTCTCATGCATTGGAGGAACGAAGCCGTGGACCAGAGGTATTCAAACAAGGCAGGAGTTTATTGCAAACACGCACAGGCTCCCTGCTAGGGAGGGACATTCAAGTGGGTCGCCTCCTGAAGCATCCTGCTCTTCCCCTCACACCTGGCAAAGGCCCGCTCTCTGTCTAGCTGTGCAGTTGGCCAATTGGTTCCTGGCCTTTTTGCAACATCGTTTTCTTTCACTTGCAAGAAAAGCATCCTCGTTTCAAAACACCCTGTTTTTCTGCTATCCATCCTGGTTTTCTGCAAAACATACTTTTTGTTTGTTTCAGCTTGCTCCAGGATTCCTCCTTCTCCCACCCCTTACCCTTTCTGCCCAATTCTGCTTTAACTCCTCGCAGTAGCATCTAATACCAAATGAAGCAGGCAGCTTACCAAGGGGATCATGGAAAGACAGTGTTAGATCTAAGGAAGTCCTGTTAAAACCAAGGTTATCCCAGGGGGAAGATGTCCCTCCTCTTGGTAAGCTGATAACCAAAGTGGAGATAGATTTCACTAAAAGAGCTGAAGTAAGTCACCAAAATATAAATAATAAGACAATAAAAACAGACCTGTGGGAGAGGGATGGGAATCCATATCCAGAGTTGCTACAATATATTACCTACAACATCCAGTTTTCAACAAAAAATTATGAGACAAGCAAAGAAATAGAAAAGTATGACCCATATACGGGAGGGGGGAAGGGGGGAGGCGGGGGGGGGGGGGAGGAGAACCCAGGAAACAGAAATGGCCTGTAAGAGGGACTAGATGTCAGCTTAAAGACTTCAAAGTCACCATTATTGATATATGCAAAGAATAAAAGAAACTATGCTTGAAGAAGAAAGGGCAGGTATGGAGACAACGTCTCAACAACGAGACAAATCAGTAAAGTGATAGAAAGTATAGAAGCATAAAACAGAAAATCTGGAGTTAAAAAGTCCAACAAATAAAGTGAGAAATTCAATAGAAGGGCCCAATAGTATCTTTAAACTGGCAAAATAAACAATCTTAACTTTATGATAGGTTGATAGGAATAATGAATTCCCCCCCAAAAGAGAGAAAAGAATGAAAAAAAAAACATAATTAGATGGAATGGACAAATTTTTAAAAACACACAAATTACCAAAACTGACTTGTGTACCTAGCAACCTCACATTAAGTAACGAGTAAATAGACCGAATTAACAGTCATTATGAGAAGATATCCTATTTCCTATATTCACTATAGGGTGAAGGAGTCTATGTTTCCATCAGATAAAGTAAACTAAATTATTTACCTTCTTGTCATTAACAAACGGTTATTTCTGCTTCCTTATAGTAAGAAGATGAAAGAGAAATGACTTCTATTGTGTTTTGCCCTATTATAGGTAGTTGATTGGGAGAAGAAATTTACAGAGTATTCATTATGGTACTTCTGCTTTGATATTTACTCCCTATCAATTATTTTCTTTATTTCTTGAGAGTTCATGCTTGTTTTAAGACACAGCTCAAATGGCTTACCTGGTAAATTATTCAAAAATATTTAAGAAAAATAACACCAATAATGTACACCTTCTTTCAGAGAATAGAAAAACATGAAACAGTTCTTTACATGATTTGTGGAGTCAGTACAACTTTGATACCAAACTGACAAAAACAGTTTGTGAGAGAAAAATCACCAATAAACACTTATGAAAAAAAATATTTTGTAACACGATCTAGAACCATATAAAATGTATATCATGACTAAGTTTTATGGAAATTAGTAAAATAATATAAATATCTATTTTAAAATAATATTTCTATTGATTTTAGAGAGGAAGGGAGAGGGAGAGAGAGATAGAACCATCAATGATGAAGGAGAAACATTGATTGGCTGCCTCCTGCACGTCCTCTACTGGGGAAGTGTCTGCAATCCCAGCACGTACCTTGACCAGGAATCCAACCGTGATCTCCTGGTTCATAGGACCCCGCTGAAGCACTGCGCCACACCTGCCTGGCTAGAAATATATTTTCTACTTTCAAAATGAGCAGAAGAGAAATAACAGAAAACAGTGTAAGGAATCCTTGAAGACTATCAAACACTGATGTCAGGAAAAGAGACTGCCAATTGGCAATGACTTCAGCGGTCAGACAGGGTCATTTGCATATTTGTTCTCAGCAATACTTCTCATCTTCTGTCACAGAGGGCTGGAGGCCTGAAAACTGCTTTCCTGAGATTTCTTTGGCAGCTGGCTGGTATAAGACTCTGACAGTGGGCGGTGATAGCAGGTGATTAGAATGCAAGAGGAAGGCAAACGCCCAAACCCACACCTCCTTTAGGTGGGGGGAGGGTAGAGCCTTCCACAGCAGGCCCAGGGTGATGGTGAGCACCTGGGGTCCTGCTCCCTCCCGCAGTCTGTTTCCAGCAACAGCAGCACATGTTTTCTGGGTTGTCAGTAAAGCAGCAAAGTAGTTTAGCTTTAGCAGCCCTGGTAGCATGGTGCTCTCTCTCTGTGTCTGTCCCAGGGATACTTTCTGGGAACTTTGGAACCCAGGACTCCTGCACTAGCAACAGAACGGCCTGGGATTCCTGCAAGGCAGCGGCAGCAGTGCGTGGTCCACAGTACTAGCTGCGGTGGACTGCTCCGCGGGCACTACCCCAGCTCCAGCCCGGCACTGATCCTCCTGCAGGTAACACCATTTCCCCTTCTGCTCCTGTAGCCTGGGATGGCGGCGAACTGCAGATACTGACCATTGAGGACCTTTCCTTTTCCCTTCTGGCTACTCCAGCCCTTCTAACTCTGTTGTAGCTTATCTCGAAATGTATTAAATTCCTCCAGTTGAAATACCAGTTGAATTTTTGTTTTTTTCCAAGTGGACAATGACACTGGGTATGTGATGGAACTTTGTTTTTCTCTCCCCCATTTACTCATATTTAATTTTAGTGTTATGTATTTTTAATATTACCTGTATAGGATAAATCCTCTCACTGATTTAATACATGGTATGCAAATAAGTGAATAAACAATTGCATGCTGATATACATCTCAAATAGAAATGAGATTAAATCAAATAGAAATGAGATTAAATCAAGAAAAATGTTAACTTTTATAATTTAAAATATGCTAAATAGTTCTGGAATTTAATACATGAAGTAATAGTATTATAGTAATCATATAATAAATAAATACATCTTTCTTTTTCCTAAAAGTTCTCTTTTTTTGGCATACAGAACTCTTTTTTTGGCATACAGAAAAGAAAATATGATTATATTTTAGAGTAGAAATCTCTTCTAATATTGTTCATTAGAATCCAAGCTTTCATAATGAACCTATTAACAAGTATTGCATTTCCAGAATATGTTGGGACTATGATAGTTTATTTCTCCATTGAGTTTAAGGATCATGATGTGATGCATTATGTGTATTTATGAGTTGTTCAGATAATTACAGAGAGAAACAATACATATAAAAATGAAAACATAATTTTAGCCATAGAAAAAAAGCTTAACTTTTATGAACGTTAGCTCTCATGAAACATGTGACACACCAAAAGAGAAATACACCTGGTGGAGACAACATGCTATAATAGTATGTACTTCCCCATTTTGTGCATTCTGGTACAATTCTTTATCTAGGAAATGACTCTGTGTCCAGAAATAATAGATAATTGTATAGCAAAGGCCTTCTAATCTAGAATTTTCTGAGGGTGGCTGAAAGATGATTGAAATCTCAATCAGAATTAAAATTATAAATTTTATTACACATGAAATTAGCCATTGGTAAATGTACTTGTACATATATCGGTAATATTTTGATATGGGATTTCTTTTTATTTACTTTCTTGTATGTGGCTGATCCCCTACACATTGGATGCAAACCATCTGGCTTCAGTTTCCGGTTTTGTCCCTAACTGTGGTCTTGGGTGAGGTTCAGTAATGTCATTTCTTAAATGTTATGAGTGTAAAATGGAAAATACACATACGTACTTAGCAAGATATCTGCTACAGCCTCGGTGCATTACCACATTAGGATTGCTGTAGCCGATGGCAGAGGGCGAAATAGTCAAGGTCAACCCTTCTCACTTTAAAATGGACTCTTGAAGTTCACTTCATAATCACACACACACAAAAACCCAATTAAAAAGTTTTAAAATTCTAAGAAATTGTCTTTAAGCATTAGGGGAAAAAGTGTGGAGGACTGAACATAACAAACTCTGACATAGTTTTTATTACAAACTCTGACAGAGGAAGGATGACTTGAATCAGGTGAAAAGTCCTTCCTTGGGGAGGAGAAAGCATTGGAGCCAGAGAGGTAAGAGTGCTTAGAGGCCCCATTGGGGAGCCTACTCTCATAGTTCCCGTCATTTCAGGAGGGAGCGAGCATGTTCTGCACTCCCATTTCAAGGCAAGGCTTCCTAATGCTCCCCAAATGGGATGACGGAGGATTTTCTAGGAAGGGTTGCCTTTTCTGGCAGAAAGAGGGCTTGAGATAGCACCTTGCTATGTCCCAGCGTTCTGCAAGACCTGGTGTGGAGAACAGTCAAAGTTGCTTCATGCCCTAACAGAATGTGGGTTGTAAAAAAGATTGGTGGACCCTAGGAGGCAGGGGGTGTTGAGATAAGGAGTAAGGAAGGTGCATAGACATGAAGGGCAGGCTAGAAGCCTGATTGAGCACAGTTGCTTCATTGTATGCAAAAGCCAGATGGGAATACTAACATCAGCTGTGAATACAGAGAACAAAGGTGGTCACAAAAGATTAACAGAGTAATTCCAATATCCCGGCTGTGTCCGAGTCTAATGCGTGCTCTGTCTCTTCAAAGTGTGCTTTTGCCTGCTGTATGTCTTTTTTGGTAGCCAAACTAGATGTACCAGGTATAAAGGAATTACATAATAATAGTAATAGGCCTTCAGTAACGTGGGGGAGGTGTGGGGGAGGGGAAGCATGCTAGCCCTCTGATTAGGTCTCAGGCTCTTCGGGAGACTCTGCCCCTGGATTATGAGCTTCACGTGCTTCTCACTTCAGACCCCTCTCTCCACGCCCCTCAGGTGGGACCAGATGGCTAGAGTGGGCTGGAGTTGGGTATTTCCCTTCCCCCAAGACTCCGTGGTCAGCAAACTGCGGCTCACGAGCCAATGCGGCTCTTTGGCCCCTTGAGTGTGGCTCTTCCTAAGCCTTAGGAGTACCCTAATTAAGTTAATAACAGTGTACCTACCTATAAAGTTTAAGTTAAAAAAATTTGGCTCTCAATAGAAATTTCAATCGTTGTACTGTTGATAGTTGGCTCTGTTGACTAATGAGTTTGCCGACCACTGCCCCAAGTCAATTAAAGGGAGAAACCCCAGCAGATTCGGATCTGGTTAAATAGCTTCTCCTGAGGGCAGGCCTTTCCACTTAGCTTATTGTCTCAAAAAGCAGGAGGGGATGTTTCTCAGATCTTCTCTGTGAGAACCTGGTAGAGTTCCAGAAGGTAAAACTCACAGGAGTGTGGGGTTCCACCAACGACTGGGTACCCTAGAGGTTTTCTCTCTCAAACGTGGCACACTGAGCCTCCTGCAGTTCCTCAGCCACAGCTCACGTTTCCATACCCAGCACCGGCTCCTCCAGAGATGTCAGCTCCTGGGTTTCTGTTCTGTAAGTAGTGAATCTCTGTAGTCACCTGTCAGTGAATTTCTGGCAGTATTTTGCTCTGTGACATCCTTCCTCTTAGAGATCTAAGAAGAATTGTTGATTTTTCAGTTTGTTCAGCTTTTCATTTCTTGTCAGGACAGAATAGCGGCTCCCATACTTCTTACATGCGAAACTGGAAGTCTGCATTACATTTTTTTAAAGCCTCACCTGAGGATATGCTTATTGATTTTGAGAGAGAGAGAAACAGGGATGTGAGAGAGAAACATCGATTGGTTGCCTCCCATACTCTCCCCGAATGGGGATTGAACCTGAAACCTCAGTATATGCCCTGACCGGCACTCGAACCCACAACCTTTTCGTGTATGGGGTGACGTTTAACCAACTGAGCCACGCCAGCCAGGACTGCATTACATTTTTTAAAAAGGAGTTTATTAATTTATTTAAAAAGAATGATCTCATTACATGTTAGTATAAACAATATATTTTATGAAAAATAATTTTTCCAAAAATATGTGAGAAAAGTGACATTGTTTTACATTTTTGAATTCTGTCTAATAATGTCTGGCTTAGTGGCTGGATTTTCATATTTTCTTCTGCATTTCTGCTGTGATACGCTGTTTTGGTTGATGTATATGAAGAAAGTCTAGACTCCTTTGGCAGATGTTTAAAAGGGATTTAAGCCTTTAAAACTTTAATAGTCTTTTCAGATAATTGTGGATATTCTTCTTTAGTATTACATGGAAACTTGACATGTGATCATTTCTTTTGTTTTTAAGTTTTTGCTACATTTATTGGGGTGGCATTGGTTAATAAAATTATATAGGTGTCAAGTGTACATTTCTGTATACATCATTTATATATTGCATTGTGTGCCCACCACCCAAAGATAAATCTTCCTTTATCATATATTTGACCCCCTTTACTATCCGCTTCCCTTCCCTCTGGTAACCACAATGCTGTTGTCTGTGTCTATGAGTTTTTGTTTATTTGTTGCTTTCAGTTCTATAGCCCACATTACATTTAAAAAAGAAGGCTCAGAGAACAAGTTGATTGCAGTGGGGAGAAATGCAGAAAATTATATTTCTGTGCATCTGAGTCTTAATGGATAAATATCAAAGTTGTTATAAATAAAAAACATGACAAACACTGTGAACACATACTTGCAAACCATCCACACTAAGGCAAGAGCCTCCGAGGGAAAGGAAAGGGCACCTCTTCCATCTGCTTTGTCTGTCTTCCGGCTCATGTCCCTCCTGCCATAGCTCCCCACAGGCTGTGTACGGCTGAGCTATTCTTCATTTCAAAACCTTACGTGATAAATTCATAGTCACCACACCTGCCAACCTATGGTATTCCTGCCTGCATGGTGCTTATATTTGTGTTGTTTCCTTCAATTTTATTCTCTTGCCTTTATCCTTTAGTCCTGGTGGGCATTTCTCCGAGTGCCTGGTTCTGCAGCTCTTTCTGAAGCCAACAGCCTAAATCCCACCTCTCCTTCTCTGCTTCTGTATTTGTCCTGCTACACAATCAGCATTCTGGGTGATGCATCTGTGGGAGGCTCATTGTAAATCTCCTCTGTCAGGCTGAGTCTCTGTACTTAAGAGCTGAACTGAAAGGTGATTCCTCATTGCAGGGCAAGATAGCATTTCCTATTTCAACCTTAAATGTTCCTTTGCCAGCAGCAGCTAGGAGATGTTGCCCCTTAAACATTTTCCATCCAATAGCTTATAGGCAACCAGAGTTCCCAGTTCGTATGTCTACAACTGAGATCTTGCATAAAAATGGTGATACTTTTCATTATGAAGAAGGAAATGCTATATTGTGGTGCTTGTTCTTCAAGACAAACTAAATATTTCACAATAAAAAAAAATCTATTGCTTGTTATTGTCTTCAATGTTCAATAGTTTTGAGTGGATTTGAAAGGAATGGAGTGTAAGTCACTGAAGAAGTTAATTGTTCTCGTTGAAGGAAGATAATCACAAAGGAGCCCAACGTTAAGTTTCATACCCCAATGTTGATTACCTTTCTGCAAGCAGTTAGAATGTTATTTTCTGAGCTGCAGAGCAATTAATGGATAGAACTGCAGGAAGTATTTAATTGAGTATTGATTTAAGGCCAAGCTGTTGTTTGGCTGAGGCATTGCATTATAATTAATGGACCTTAACCAGAGTTTAATTTTTCCACACTATTTCTGAT